TTATTTGACAGAGAGAGAGATAGCGAGAGCAGGAACACAAGCAGGGGGAGTGGGAGAGGGAGAAGCAGGCCTCCCGCTGAGCAGGGAGCCCGATGTGGGGCTCAATCTCAGGACCCTGGGATCATGAGCTGAGCTGAAGGCAGACGCTTAACGACTGAGCCACCCAGGCGCCCCCCCTTATGTTAAATTTCTATATCGCTTGCTTTGGCAGCACATACACTAACATTGGAATGATGCAGAGAAGATGAGCATGGTCTTGGGCAAGGATGTCACACAAATTCACGAAGCACTCCTTATTTTTCGTCCTAGAGATGTAAAGTAGAGCTTCGTGACTATAGTTAATGATACTGCATTGTATGTTTTGGAAAGTTATTAAGAGAGTAGAACATAACAGTTTGCATCCGAAGAAAAAAATAATTGTAACTATGTATGGTGATGGATGTTAACGAAATTTATTGTGACAATCAATTCGCAATGTAGACATGTATCAAATTATTATGTTGTGCACCTACCTGAAAATAATGCAATGTTATATGCCAATTATATCTCAGTAAAAATTTCCATAAATGGAATTTCTGGGTTATATACATTTGATAGGGTCTTGGTGTATGTTGTCTTCTAGCATGGTTCTACCAACTCAACATTCCTGCCTGCAGGATTTGAGAGTAACCTTTTAAAAACAGGCTCACCAGAAAATTATCATTCTCTTCAGTCTTTGCTATTCTGATGAAGGGTTATTAGTATGTTGCTGTTTTCGTTAGTACTCCTTTGATTACTCCTGAGGTTGGATATTTTCTCACATGCTTATCAGGCCAGTGAGACACATTTCTTATGAGCCCAAAATACCCATATCCTTCACCCATTCCCCGCTCCTGCCCCCCCTCCCTGCTGATTGGCAGAGGACTTAGTGTATGCTCTGGATTTACAGAAACTAAGCAGAAAAATAAGGAACAATTAAGAAACGTTTTAAATAAGCTTTCCTCTGATGTTTACACTTTATATAATAAACCAGGATTCAGTGATGGGGGTTTCCCCTTTCACAAAATGAATGATCGCTTACAGTCTCTCTAGGCTGATTCATCATTGTCACCATTGTATGGTTCTACTTTCTTTTCCCAGGGTCTCAGTGCCCGAATCCTGGGCCAAATTTACAGATGACAATATTCTCAGTTCCCAAAGTGAACGAGCAGCCTCTGCCAAGCTAAGAGACGACATTCAAAACCTCTTGGTTGTGACTGCCAATGAGATGTGGAATCAATTCAACAAAGTGAACTTGTCTTTCACCAATCGCATTGCTGAGACTGCAGATGCTAAAAATAAGATTCAGATTCACTTAGCGAAGGTAAATCAAGTGCCAGTGGTACCCCTTAGCCGACCTGGATAGATAGAGCAGGGGGCTCTGGGACCACAAATCTCTCACCACTCCTGGAGAGACACCATAAGACGCATGAACTCCTGGCCATATAGACAAAGAAAAATTAAAAACAGTACAAAGCACACCATTTATTTTATCCAGGTAGGCAGGTGTCAAAATGAAATTGGAATCCACTGGTTTTTGGAATACAAAGAATGCACTATGCACTGAAAGGTTCCTAGTATTTAATAGAAACAAAAATATTATGATTAAAGTTTAATGAATCACTGCATGTAACTAGGAAGTGAATTTATTATTAGAACATATGGTAGGAATGTTTTCTGTTAAATTACTTCAGGACCTTTCTCTGGAATACAAAACCAAATACAGGAAACTATTAGGTAGTTCAAAGTGTTTCTGATATTGAACTTTTTAAAGTGCTCTAAGCATAAGCATTTTACAATGACAATAAAATGAAGGATTTAAGCAGAATTTGAGTGTTTCAAGATAAACAAGGAGCTCTTTCTTTATTTAGCATTGGTCTTGGAGCTCTTATTATTTCTGTGGATTATGCTGCCTATAGGTTTTCATTTCTTATTTTAAGAACCTGACACAGTCGGCCATGTGTGCTGGAAGGCAGTATTATCCAATTGAGGGCGCCATGTTTTCTCAGACTGCAGCAATTTAACTTCCTTTTTCATGGTGTCTTCTTTGAGCAACAAGTACTTATTGGACGACAGAGAGAAGAGCAGAGAGAAGTATAATATGCAGTTTTGGTCCCAGGAAGCTTATATTTGTGAAGATGTGCATACGTAGGAGAAGCTCATGAACAATTAGTAACTACAATAGAAAATTACAGATTGCGGTTGCCAGATAACAGATGCAGAAAGTGTTGTTGGGGTTTGGAGAAAGAGGTGAACATTCGGGGCGGGGGGACGAGATCTCGAACGAAGCCTCAGGAGGTAGCCAGTCAGAGGTTGAGTTTGGATCTGTAAATGGAGGGCATGTGTCCTGGGAGAGAAGCTTGCAAAGGCAGCCTGGAGCCAAGCTGTAGAGGACATTGATGGGAAGGTATCCACTGGGCAGTATGAAGCTATTCTAAAGGCTTCTAGAAGGCTGCCCTGATGGAGTCCCTTTGTTCAACAAATTTTTATTTACTTCTGCATTAGTTCCCTGGGGCTATCCCAACAAAGCACTATAGACTGGGTGGCATAAACAACAAAAGTCATTTTTTTTCCCCCCCACAATTCTGGAAGCTAGAAGTCCAAGATCAAGGTGTCAGCAGGGTTGGTCTCTTCTGAGGTCTATCTCCTTGGCTTGAGATGACCATCTCCTTTTGTCTTCACTTGCTCTTCCCTCCATGCATGCCTGCATCCTAATCTCCCCTTCTTATAAGGACACCAGTCCTATTGCACTAGGACGTACCCTAATGATCTCATTTTAGCATAATTACCTCTCTCAAAGGCTCCATCTCCAAATACAATCATATTCTAAGATACTGGGGCGGGGGGTTAGGACTTCAACACAGGAACTTTCCTGGGGGTGGGGAGGGGATAGCATTCAGGCCAGCACAGCTACATTGGAGGTACTGTGCTGGGTGCTTTGGGGTATGCACACATGAACAACACACTGGCCCTGCCATCTTGTATCTTAGAGCGAGACAAGACATGAAAGTAGAAAGGACCAGAAAGGTGCAGAAAGAACTCCTAGGAGCTGCAGATAAAACGTTAAGTTTAGCAGAAGAGTTATTTCCACTGGGGAGAGACAGGAATGGCTTCGGGAGCAGGGAGCCCCTGAGGGTGGCTTCGGGGATAGGAACAGTGCAATGATCTTCCACAGGTTGTTGAAGGCTTGGGAGGGAGGTCAAAGCTCAAGTGACAGATTTCAGGGCTCCTGGATTATGCAAGTGCTAAATCCATGAGGTTACAGGAGAGCTCTGCAGGAGAGAAAGGACGGAGCAGAGAAGTGGCTCAAGACAGAGGCTTGTACTGGGAAGTGGTGAGGAGCAGCTACAGAGAGAGGCAAGGAATTAGGACAGCAGCTGGCCGGAGAAGACAAACAGGGCAAGGGTTTCAAAGAGAGGGAGACATCGGGGAGGGTTATTGTCGCCTTTGAGAGTACAGTTTCACGAGGGCCACTGGGTCCAGAAATATAGGGGCCACCTCCAGATGAGCTGGTCAGAGTGCAGGGAGTGAGCAGGACCATTGTGGAATGCACGGAGCAGGGACCGTGGGGGGAGGGTTGGAGGGTACCAACTGGAGAATGCCCAGGTGGGACTGAATGAGAGCGTGGTGGTCAAGACATGAAGTTTTACAAGAATTTGGGTGACACTGGGGTGTGTCTCCAGGCCACAGGAAGGTGGCTGAGGAAGGGGGGAGTGGTGGACAGATGTGGAGAATTGCAAGTGCAGAGGTCAAAGTCATAGAAGAGAGAAGAATTGTCAGAGCATAGGAGAGGAGACCAGGGAGGAATCTGGGTTTATGTAGTTTGGAGGATCTTCCTTTAAGAAAAAAAGAATATAAAATCAGGACTCCCCAACACTGCCAGCGCTCCTCCCTTGCAAGGGAGACACTCAGAAACTTGAATTGGTTTGCTTCTTACTAGCAGGAAAACATCTCTATGACACTAGTAAGAAGATAAAGAGGCAGGACATACTGATGTGAGGAGGGATGTAAGGGCCATTGAAACCTCTTGGCCTCACTTTTTTTCAGAGTTACACACACATGTGTGCTGGTAATTATTTAACAATCGGTGGGGGCTGTGTGTGGGAAGGAGGCTCCGATTTGTCGTATTTGCTCATTTCTGTGGTGTAAATACTCTCCGCCTGGCAGATTTCACCTGGAGTTGGGAAGAGACACACACAGTCAGCTCTCCAGAGATTCCCGGGGACGGGGCTGGGGTGGGGGGAGAAAGGCCCTCAGAGAAACCACCTCCCCATGGGAGAGGGCAAGGTGGGCCTCAGGCCTTAAATGCAAGAGGCCTCAAACATTTGCTTCTCTTCACACAGACGCTGCAGGAGATCTTCCAGACTGAAATGACCATAGAATCCATCAAGAAGGCCATCAAGGACAAGTCTGCCTTCCTGAAGGTGGCTCAGACCAGACTGGACGAGCGCACCAGGAGACCCAACATAGAGCTCTGTCGGGACATGGCTCAGCTACGGTGAGACGGAAGTGGGCCCTGAGCAGGAGGGGCAAGCTCGGGGTGCTCCTTGGGGCAACCCACCAGCCCCATGGCGGCTCCATGCTCTTTATGAAGGCGCTTCCTTCTGCTTTCGCACTGGTCATATGGAAGAGCACAGTAAGAGTCATTGTGTTGGAGCCTTCTTCGGAAGTGTTAATAATTATTAATAATGGGTGTAGAATTTCGGTTGGGGAGGATGAATAAGTTCTGGAGATGGATGGTAGTGATAGACGCACCACAGTTTGAAAGTACTTAATGCCACCAAACTGTACACTGAAAAACAGTTGAGATGGTAAGTTTTTTGTGTTATGTACATTTTACCACAATTTAAAAAAAAGGGAAATAGGTATTAAGAAGGGCACGTACTGCATGGAGCACCGGGTGTTATACGAAAACAATGGATCGTGGATCACCACATCAAAAACCAATGATGTATTGTATGGTGACTAACATAACATAATAAAATTTAAAAAATAAAAATAAATAAAAATAAAAAAGGGAAATGATATCAACACCATATACAAAAAAAAAAAAGTGATAATAAATGTGAAGCCTCATTCAGTGGGGCCAATGTGGCCTCTGGGTTCCTCTGCGCTTCCCTGGGGTCTGGAGTTTCCAGAATATCTCTCTTATAAGCAGCAGAGTGCATTACTTGCTGTGCGGTTTTCAGTGCCTGGGACTCATCAGAAAAGGGACTTGTGGTACCAGCTCCACTGACCCCTCTCTATTTGCTCTCACCCATTTGTTCTCATTGGCCTTTTTTGGCATTTATATCTACTCTCCCCATTAAGACCATCCTCATGGTCCCCTAGAACCCCTTCAGGGTCACTTCAGTTTGTTCTGTTCTCACTGGAAATCGAAAACAGCTGGACTTCATCAAGCACATCCCCCCATAGACATGGCCACAAGACTCTCATGCCGCCATTTATCCACCCAACACTAGGCGTCTTTTATCATGATGATGATTTTAACTTTGAACATTCCTTTTAGGATGGGCTCCTCAGGAATTGGGTAAAACTCCCCCCCCCACCCCCACCCCGCCGACATTCTGGCTTCATTTCCAATTTCCCAATATCTGTCAGCTTGTCTTTTCTTTCTGGATTTCTCCATGGCTTTTCTCAGGTCCTGAAATGCTCTGTGCAGAAGCAAATCAAATTTATAGCAACTGGAGGAACAAAGGTGCCTCACTTGAACTCCAAATTCTTTCTGGTGCCGTGGGGAAATGCCACTAGTCTCGTCTCCTACCTGGTTCCATGATGGGATTCCCTCATCATCACAAAGGATTGATCCTAGGGATAAATCAGCTTTGAGCCCTGCCAAGGAAGCAAGTGTGGATTTCTTGGAGGGTAAGGGAGATCCTTGTTGCGCCAACAACAATGAAGACAAGAAAGATGGTGAAGTGGCAGGAGTAGAGTAGGCTGCCATATATGTATCTCATTCTGTGCTGAGCTCCATCCTCAGCTCCTTACACTACCTCATTCATCGTCTGCATTTCAAAAATAAGGAAACTGAGGCAGAAGCATGTTGCATGACATGGTAAGTAGAGGCATGGTTTGAATTCTTGCCTGCCCCACTGCAGAGCCCTATCCAACCAAACCAACCGTTTGCTTCTGCTTCCCCCATCTTTCACACGTATGGTGCTTTTATCATCCTCCTATCGTGCTCCCGATCCCATCCAACCTCCTCAGTGCCCTTATGGAGCGAGTCAGCAAAGCGGATACTGTATCCCCATCTCTCTCTCATAGAGGATGAAACTGAGGGTCACAGAGGAGATCTTTACAGCAAAACGCCCTACCCATACAGCATGCATGTTGTCTGTGTTGGATGCTAAGAAGCATGCTCTGGCATATATGCCAATGAATTAGCTGCATTTCTCCTTGTAGAGCTGTTGTCTGGGCCATAGCCATATAGGTGTGCACCCATGCTGGCTAGACATTTCCCCAAGTGGGTTCCAGAGAACCCCTCTTCCTACACAGCCCGTTCATTATTTAGGATTAGCTGTCCTCCACTCCAGAGGCCCGTCTGCGGTGTCCACGTGCTTCCGAGGAGTGTGGCAGTGAGTACAAGGCCATCTGGCCAGTTAGGATTAGATCACGAATTGTGGCTTTCTGCAAATCATATTAGGGGAAGTTGAGCGAAGTTTTATTCTCTGAGTTTCTGCAGAGTCACCAGAAGTAGAGACGGGGATCCATCAGTTGTTCAGACTGGCATTGGACAAACCTGGGGCTGTTTTTTTAAAAGGGTTTTGAGTAGGGGCTCCTGGGTGGCTCAGTCAGTCAGCGTCTGCCTTCGGCTCAGGTCCTGGGATCGAGCCCCGCATCGGGCTCCCTGCTCAGTGGGAAGCCTGCTTCTCCCTCTCCCACTCCCCCTGCTTGTGTTCCCTCTCTCG